TTGTAAATCTCATTTTAAAACATGAATTTACAAAAGCATTCAACATCGGATCACAGCCAAATAAACATTATTGAAAAGTTAGGTAATTATGGTTACTGTCTCTATTAGGCCGAAAATCGAAAGCCAAAGATTTCAAGTAAAGACCGGCAGATTATGGAATTCTAGTAAAATTGGACAGATTTGCATGATTTGGGAAATCAACTTCAAAAGCATAGCAAATGGTTTCCAAAAATTATAAAATTTGAATATGTTATAAAAAAGACCTTCACAAATATTTTCCATGAAGAACACAATCCCAAAATCCTTATACAAAGATCACTTTTGATGGCTTGAAAACAATCCAGAACTGGTCCGTCGGAACAGAGGGAACCGAACCACAAGAAATACTCGTTTTACAAACAACCCAAATCCTTTCAAAACACTTTGAAATTTTTATACGCTGTAGACATGGATTTCGTTTATAATCTTGTGAAGGAAGTATGGTCGAAATCGAACTGAAAATTTTTATAAAAATCTGAGAAGGCACGAAGGTCACGGAATCTACAGTATAACAGTTCTGATTCGGTAAGAAATTGGACCTTCGTGTATCCCATTTGAGCTCAGAAAAATCTGAAATTTAAGTATGTTATAGATCAAGATCTTGTGAACAACTTTGATGAGGGACACTTTTCAAGATTCTAACCACAAAAGGCTCTATAAAAATGGAAAAACAGAGACGTACAGTAAAATCAGTTCTGAATTCAAGACAAAAACTCCAAGAAACGCCTTCAACTTTGAGATCCACCACTTCTCAGCCATGAAAATACCACACCAAGAGTTCAAATCATATCCAACATCTATTTCAACTTAGTTCAGCAATCAAGACTCACCAATGCTCATTCTATAAGTATAAACACACTAAAACAATAACTAGCTAAACTACCCTACGCAAGTTAAACATTCTAATCGAGGGATTAGATGTTAACTTACTCGTCTAAAAACGACGACAACACGAGGACAACGGCAACGACATGAGTTGTCCGTGGTGGCCTCGGCTTGACACGGCAAGCGGCAAACGACGGTGAATGGCACACGACGATCCATGGGGCTCAAGGGTGATGGCGTGAGGATGAGGAGAGAGTGGCGTGGGAACTCTCTCTCTCTCTCTTTCTCCCTATTTATAATAGCCCAAGCAAAGAAAAGACAAAATAGAATCATTACCAAATCTTCCTTCATTAATGGCTAGATGTGGCCATCATTACCAAATCTTCTTAAAATCTTAACCATTAATGAATATGAGTCAAAAGTCATGATGAAATGATCTTGAAAATCTTGGTCATTAATGAAATGATCTTGAAAATCTTTGCATTAATAAATAAGAGCCAAAATATCATCATGAAATGCCATTAATAACTTGATGTTGGAAATCTTTGCATTAATGATAATGGACAAAATAACATGATGAGATGCCCCTAAAGTCCTATGGCCATTAATGCATGTCATGATGGTGGTGCCTCCAAAATCTAACTAATTAATGCAAGTCATGATAAAGGAGACCTCAAAGTCCAAGTTCCATCCAACGGTCAAGATCAAGCCTTGCTCTCCAAGTTCCATCCAACGGCCAAGATTTAATCTAACAAAGAGGTTTCTAGAAAGGCAAGTTAGCAAATAATTTTCGATGGCCAATTTGTAAAAATTATGAGGCGACGTCCTATAGTTCGGGTGTGATATCCTTGAGCACTCGACACGCAACATCAGATCATAATTTGTGGCTGAAATCAATCAATCGCAACTATAGTTTATCTCGAACTAATGGGCGGCTGCTAGAAATAAATTCTTCGATAGCCTTTCCCCTTTGGTTAGCATTCCCTGGGTGATCAGGCCAAAGCGAGAATTAACTAATAGAGCGTCGATGAAATCACTATTTCATAAATCACCAAATTTGATCGAATTTTCAGGATATCACAGTGAGACTTGTTTTATATAGAGAGAAATGGGTGAGTGGAGAAAATTGGGTCCCTTTTGCTTGTTGATTGAACTTTTCCTTCGAACGCGGGGCTTAAGTGGGGTTGGGAGAGCTTGTCAGCATGCAGGTGACGATGTTGTGATTGAACTTTGCTTGATGATATAGAATCTACATATTGCAAAATTGAGGATCTCCCAACCCCAACTCCCCACTAACCTATTTGAGGCCGGTTAGAAGAAGTCAAGTAAAACACGGGCCATAAATATCGGGGAGTGAGGACTTGATTATGCTATAATCTATTAGCATTTAAATTTGGTACCCTTTCTCGTTATTTTGAAAAAAACATTGGTAGTGTAATTTTGTCCTTTTTTAATCCCTACGAACATCCATGCATGGCAACTTGCACAAGAATATTCATCAATCACACAACGACATGATATTAAGATGTACGGTAATAAAAGACGTAATGGAAGATGCGAAAAGTAAAATCATGTATAGTGTTGGATAAAAAATATACACTGCCACGATGTTAAGCCTCGGGCAGGACCCCGTGAAGTAAGCTCTAATCTAAACATGCAACTATCTCTAATCTAAATGATGTAAACTTCCTAACTTAAAGACGATCATGGAACACTAGTAAAAAACAGAGTATAACGAAACATGAATCAATCGAAGCTGTGACATACAACTCTAAACTAAATGCAACTTTCATTTTATTATCATTTTATTTATCTTTTTTTATTCATGGTAAAAATGGTTTAAAGCCTAATTATCCTGATTGCATATCGGAAAGTCATAACCTCAATGCTATGCTTAAAATCAATTCAAATGCAATGCAATCGTGTGGATATGGCTTAAATTAATACAAACACGTAATGAGGCCGGCCCAGAACCATCGAGACCACTTAAGGTCACCACGGAACACCATCCGAAGTGTTTCAACCGCTCCCCACCAAAACTGAAACCACCATGACCCGGCGGTCAAAACCGAGTCATTCATGGTTCGGCGATCAAACCCGAACCAAAGGGGGTCTAGCATTTGGTAGGTCGGCTCCTGAGCCTTCATTTGTCAAACTCTTAATTGCCGGGTCCAAGGTCATTAAAACTTTGATGCCTCTAGTTTATATGTCCAGAAGAAATTTGACAGAAAAAGACATGAATACGAAACATCGGGATATCGAAACGATAGCGTTTTCTTCTTCTAATGAGGGGTCGAATCTTGACGTCATTGGCGAATTCGATTCTTAGATGATTTTCTTAGAAAATACATGTTTGGGCTCACCGGCGTAATTCAAGTGTCGACATGGCCTTTTTGATAACATTCGGAGGGCATTGTTACGTTGGACGCCTCTGCCGACCTTTGCATCTTATAAAAAGAAACAAAAAAAAGTGTCACAGTCTTCAATAATTGAACTATCGGTACGGTGTTACAGACCAATTTGGCAACGTTCGTCCTCGATTGATTATTAATTTTTGGCGTGCGGATCACTCCCTTTATTTCATTTTTTAGTCTACGAAAGGAGTGACGACAAAGCAAATCTCACATCGTAATACCAAAACGTCCAATGATTTGGGCTTTCGGACGAACGACGGTCTTTTTATTTATTCACTAAATAACTTATTTTTATTTATTCTCTCATTGCCCGATTTCTCTTTAACGTCTTCCTCTTTATATATTAGATTCTCTTTTTCTCCTCTCATTGTCTTATGGCATTTTCATATCAGCGTAAAAAGGAAATAAAATCTTATGATTTATTTCTAGAGCTAATACCACGAAAAACGTTAAACTGATACAACCGTAACAAATTTACTCAAGCTAATTTTTTTACTACAAAAAATTCCAAACCAGTACGCCTATGATAATTTTACATTCCGTTAAATTTTATCATCAAATTTTTTAATTAGATGACGCATGACAGCTGATGGATGTATCGATTTGGATTTTTACTTTCTGTTTGTCATAGGTGTACCAGCTTGTGATTTTTTGTAATATTAATTCAATTTAACGGAGGGTAAATTTATCACAAATGTACCGGTTTGGGGTTTTTGATGGTCAAAAAATTAATTTGGGGTAAATTTATTGCAGATGGACAAGTTTGGGGTTTTTGGTACTCAAAAAATTAATTTTTGGTAAATTCGTCATTTATGTACCGGTTTGAGATTTTTCGTGGTATTAACCCTTATTTCTACCAACGATTGAAAATGTCCTTTTTTTTTTTCTTTTTGGGGTTTAACTTGTGTTGACTTACAAAAAAGAAAGATTGAGGATTAACCAAAAGAAAAAAAAACAATCTTTGGCCCTTTGCTATTGAATAGTTCTTCCAAATGGGAGCTTAACTTCCTACGATGTCCGTGCGAGTTGGGTGCAGTAAAGTAGCCGCTGCGACAAATTACTAAGCATCAACATAGAAGTACGATATCTTAAAGCCTAATAATTCTCTAAAAGAAATTCAGCTATAAAAAATAAGTCTCAATTTTATTCGGAACTTTCATTTATCTAAAAAAACTATTAATTTTCATTCGATGTTTCGAATCCACCTCCTTTGCATTGCCATCTAAGATCGTCCTTAATTGTCGCAATTGCACGTTAGCAATAAGTCCCGCATCTCTTGCTGACATGAAATTTTCGTCATCGTGTACTGTCCTATCTTTTGGTGTCTTTCCTCTTTCTCTCGGTTTTTTTCATTTTCTTTCTATACCCTCACCCCTCCATCTTCTTTGCCCTCATGCCTCCTCCATCTTATTTTCTTATCCGGTAAATGCCATAAATAATTTTTAAACTTTAGCCGAATATTTAATGTGATTTCTGAATTTTAAATTTATTTAATATGATTCACAAATTTTTAGTACATGCTTAATTTATTCTTTAGACTATGAAAATTCATATTATTCCATTAATTAAAGTCGAAGACTACCGCGTGTAAGTATGTGAGCCACACATTTTTCTTTCATTGAAACACCACAAACCACGACCACTCCCCTCTATAAATATCTTCCTTTCCTCATAAAAAACTCACTCCCGATTCTTGCTACACCCTGAGATCAAACAGAACGGCAGAAATGAACGAGTCGTGGACATCTCTGGTCTCCCTTCTGGGCATCCTGGCCCTCTGCCAGAGCCGCATCCAGGAGGTGATCCCCACGGAGCTCCGGCTCGCCTTCCACAATTTCCTCAAGCGGGCCCTCCGCTGCTTCTCCTCCAGCTGCCACTTCGACATCGCCGATACGGACGGCGTCAACACCAACGAGCTCTACAACGCCGTCCAGCTCTACCTCAGCTCCTTTGTCTCTGGCTCCGGCTCTGCCAGCCGCCTCTCCCTCACCCGCGCCCGCAACTCCAGCGCCACCACCTTCGGCCTCTCCAACAACGACTGCATCGCCGACGTCTTTGACGGTGTTGCCGTCCAGTGGGAGCACGAGGTGACGCAGCGCCAGTCCCAGACACCCTCGTGGCGGACCCTCCCCTACGAGAAACGTAGCTTCAAGCTCCAGATCAGGAAACGCAACAAGGACCTCATCCTCAACTCCTACCTGGACTATATCATGAGCAAGGCCAATGACATCCGCCGCAACAACCAAGAACGCCTCATTTATACTAATCCACGCAACGATTCCCCGGGCCGCCCTTGGGAATCGGTGCCGTTCAAACACCCAAGCACCTTCGACACGTTGGCCATGGACCCGGAGAAGAAGAGGGACATCATGGAGGACCTCCGCGACTTTGCGGCAGGGCAGGCCTTCTACCAGCGGACCGGCCGGGCCTGGAAGCGGGGCTACCTGCTCTACGGCCCACCTGGGACAGGGAAATCCAGCATGATCGCCGCGATGGCCAATTTCCTCGGCTATGACATCTACGACCTCGAGCTGACCGAGGTGCCCTCCAACTCCGAGCTCCGGAAGCTCCTCATGAAGACCAGCTCCAAGTCCATCATCGTCATCGAGGACATCGACTGCTCAGTCAATCTTTCAAACAGGTTGAGGGCGCCCAAAGCCCCCGCGCCTCGGAGCTACTCGGACCCTGGTGCCCCTGACGCTGAGTCCGGCGGCAAGGAAGGAAACAACAACACGATCACCCTATCGGGACTGCTCAACTTCACGGACGGCCTGTGGTCGTGCTGCGGGAGCGAGAGGATCTTTGTGTTCACCACCAACCACATCGACAAGCTCGACCCGGCGTTGCTCCGGAGTGGCCGGATGGACATGCACATCTACATGAGCTACTGCTCTTACCCGGCGCTCGAGATCCTGCTTCGGAACTACCTGGGTTGCGAGGCCAAGGACATCGGCGAGGCGGCGGCGAGGGAGCTCCGAGAGGTGGTCGAGAAGGCCAAGATGACGCCGGCTGACATAAGCGAAGTCCTGATCAAGAACAGAAGGAACAAGGAGAAAGCGGTGAGCGAACTGCTGGAGGTGTTGAAGGCGAGAGCAGAGAGGAATGAGAAGTACGGAGGGTTGAGAGAGGAGTGCGAGCTGAACGAGGTCGAAGAAGAGGAGGAAGAGAAGAGGGCACTGGAGAGCCCCAAAGAAGGGAGCGACAGTGAGGACGATTCTTGCAAGAAAGTGGAGGATGATGAAGAGAAGAAGGCAAAATGAGAGGGAAAACTAATTTGGCCTTTTCTTTTCAAACCCTCCAGATTCGTGTCTTATTATATGGATTAAAGCTCGTATGACTCAGCAAAATTGTAAAAAAAATAGGAATTAAGCTCATACGACATATTGAGTTTATCCACTATTGTGGTTCTGTGTTGTTTTGTTCATTTGGATGGCCGGCCACGTCCCATCTCGTGTTAGGCGCGCCTTTTGGAGGTGCTGCAATGTTCATAATGTGATTTTGGGTGAATTATCTTGTTAATAAAAGAATTCTGCTGTATGGAAAAGTACAAGTGAAAGTAACACAATGTGTTAGTCAAATTGCTTCACGTGCCATTAAAAGGGTCGCGGCCCTCGCTTGATCGGCAAAGGTCACTGGCCATTGCCAAGGTCCTCATGACCCGCGGAGCGAAGAAGATACATAGGAGAAAAAAAAGAAAGAAAATAAAAGGAAAAAAAAGGAAATATTCAATTACTTTAAAATAATAATTGAAAAACGTCTTTTGCAAAACAAGTGTCATGTCTCGTTGAATTTTCGGCACTCGTGGTAAGCATTTTTTTAAATTTATGGCACTAAAATGAACCTTTTTAAAAAATTTATAGACATTTAAGTGATCAAAAAAAATTTAAGGTATTCAAGTAAACGCAGTACAGAAATTACGCAAGCGAAAGGAAAGTCCTACTTAACAGTCTTTGTATAGGAACTTGTCTTGCTTGCGGTAAAAACATCTTCAGGCACGTTCATGGCATAGCATTGTATTTTGCATGTTTTATTTACATTTTTAAATCATAAAAAATCTCGTGCCATATTTTGCATTAGGAAATTGCATATTCTTTTCTCATTAGAAGTCGGAAGTAATATTCATTCTTCGTGTTTAACCATAGTCAAACAAAAAATATTTTTATTGTTTAAGAAAATTTTAAGATATAAATTGCTATCAACGATGAAAATATTTTCCATTAACTAATTATTTCAAGCAATACAAGCCATCATTTTTTGGAAAATATTTTCCAAATCATTCAATTTTCGCGAAACAAACAGAGCTCGAGGGAACTTGACAATTTGGAAAACATTTTTCAAAAAATGATGTCTTGTTTTGCTTATAAAAAATCGATGAACAATTTTTTTTTATTGTGTATGAAAATGTTTAGACATAAATTATTGTCGATAATGAAAATATTTTTCATTGACTAATTATTTTAAGCAATATAAGTAATTATTTTTAGAAAAATACTTTTCAAATAATTTATTTTTCGCGAAATAAGTGAAGGCTAAAAATCCGGCTTTCCATGTTGTAAAACACTCTCTCAACAACATATGCAATCCAATGCTTTTGTCTTCATTGTGGTGGAGAAGCATTTGTAGACTCGTAAGCCAAGTCCTAACATCTCCCTCATAAGAACTTGGCCTGCACTTAGTCCAATATTTCCAACATCAACTTGTATTCTTAGATGTAGATGGACCAACATCTGGATGAACATCGTTACTTCCAGGCAGCTATAAAACATATTTGTGTTATATCCAAACATAACCATGATAAAGAAGACACCCAGACTTTTAAGGGCTTGGAAAGCTTCGAATCTTTATGCCTTCTTTTAATTTTTATTTCTTTAAGTTTTACACATGGATAATAAGTTGTGACAATTTTTTAACTTATTAGATGAATGGGGAAAATACCAAAAAAGTTCTAAACCTATTGCATCTGTGCTAATTCAGTTCTAAACATTTCAATTGTGTCAATTGAGTTATAAACATTTTCACATTTTTTCGGCTTACATGTCACAGCCGATGTCTACGTTAGCGCTTTCCAATCAAAATTGACTAGATTGACTCAATTGGCAAAATGTGAAAATATTTAAGAAACAATTGGCACAATTGAAATGTTTGTGATTCAATTGGCACAAATGTAATAGATTTAGGACTTTTTTGGTAATTGTCTCTCACATAACAAACTTATGTACATTTTAAAGAAATTAATTATTTACAAATTGGCTTCATATACTTATCTTTTTTTGGCGGTTTTATTTAGTAAGAGTGGTTTCACCTTTTGCAGAAGAAATACGTTCGATTAGATAATTTTAAATAAAACTTCTAATTAGAAGCAAAAATGAGACTTATTTTATATAGAGAGAAATAGGTGAGTAGAGAAAATTGGGTCCATATTGCTAATTGATTGAACTTTTCCCACAATTGCGGGGCTCCAGTGGGGGTTGGGAGAGCTTGTCAGCGTGCAGGTGATGGGGGAAGAACAGCAGAAGTGCCAAAAATTGTGTACAGAGCTCACTTTGGTGCCAAAAGTTTCATTTGGATCACTTAAGTGCCAAAAGTTTACGCCGGCGATCACTTAAGTGCCAAATCGGAGAAAAAATAATCACTTAAGTGCCAACGACGAGAAATTCCGACCAAATTTAATACGTGACTTTTATATTTAAATTTTAATGACACGTGACATTTCCACGTGTATAATTCAATTTTTTAAATATTTTTTTCTGATTTTTTTCTTTCTTTTCTTTTTTCTTTTTTCATTTCTTTTTTCTTCTACCATGGCCGGTGGCCGGAGGCCAGCCACCGGCCATGGCCGGCCTCGCCGGTCGTCGTCTTCCTCCGGGCGAGGCCCGGCCTCGCCGGATCTGACGAGGCGAGCCCTCGCCGGGGCTCGCCCTGCCCAGGCGAGGTCTGTGTGACGGCGAGGGTCGGCGAGGGCGAAGCTCGCCATGGCTGGGCAAGCTCTGCCCTCGCCGCCACTGGGCGAGCTCGGCGTCGCCCAGCTCACCCAGCGGTGGCGAGGGCAGAGCTCGCCCAGCCATGGCGAGCTCCGCCCTCACCAGTCCTCGACAGTGCTGACGAGGGCGAGCCTCGCTGTCGCGCAGCCACGGCGAGGCTCAACCTCGCCAGACCTGGGCGAGGTCGCCGTGGCCGGGCGAGCTCGACCTCGCCCAGAACTGGCGAGGTTGAGCTTTGCCGTCGCACCGCGGCGAGGCTCAACCTCGCTAGATCTGGGCGAGGTCGCCCTCGCCGGCCGCTCGCCATGGCCGGGCGAGCTCGACATCGCCCAGATCTGGCGAGCTGGGCGACGCCGAGCTCGCCCAACGGCAGCGAGGGCAGAGCTCGCCCAGCCATGGCGAGCTCCGCCCTCGCCGGCCCTCGCCGTCGCACAGCCGTGGCGAGGCTGGGCGAGGTCGCCTCGCCTTGCCCGGCGACGGCGAGCCTCCCCAGTGGACCTCGTCGGCAAGCTTCCCCCTGGCCGGACTGGCCAGGGGGAAGAAGGAAAAGAAAAAAAAAAGAGAAAGGAAAAAAAATCCAAAAAAAATATTAAAATATTGACACCGGCGAGGTCGGCCCTCGCCGAGGCCATGGCGACCTCGACGGGCCTTGCCTGGAAGAAGGCGACGCCCGGCGAGGCCGGCCATGGCCGGTGGCCGGATGCCGGCCATCGGAAATAAGAAGAAAGAAAAGAAAAAAAAAAGAAAAGAAAGGAAAAAAGAAAGAAAAGGAAAAAAAAAAGAAATGTCACATCAGCCTCCGACGAGCCACATCAGCTTGAGAAATTAATAAAAAAATGTTAAGTCGGATTTCCGGCGAAGTGGCACTTAAGTGATCGTTTTTCACAACTTTTGGCACTTAAGTAATCCGATTGAAACTTTTGGCACCAAAGTGAGCTCCGTACATAACTTTTGGCACTTCTACCGTTCTTCCCCCTGCAGGTGACGATGTTGTGATTGAACTTTCCTTAATGATAATAAAATCTAAATATTGCAAAATCGAGGCGCTCTCTCTCCCTATATTTATTAAGGGTAATATCATGAAAAATTTCAAATTTGTATATTTGTAATAAATTTATCTTAAATTAATTTTTTGACCAAGAAAAATCCAAACTGGTACACCTGTGATAATTTTATCCGGAACTAATTTTTTGACCACAAAAAACCCTAAAATGATACACCTGTGACAAATTTACCCTCTATTAGTTTTCGTTAAATTTTACTGTCAAATTGTTGAGTTTGTAGTAGTTGACGAGTATATCAATTTTGGGTTTTACCCATTTGTTTGTCACAAGTTTATTAATTTTTGGTTTTTCATGATATTAATACCATTTAACGGAGGGTAAATTTGTCACAAGTGTACCGATTTGGAGATTTTGGTGATCAAAAAATTTGTTCGGAGTAAATTTGTCAAGTGTACCAATTTTGGATTTTTTGTGGTCAAAAAGTTAATTCGGGATAAAATTATCACCTGTGTACCAGTTTTAGGTTTTCAGTGATAAAAAAATTAGTTCGAAATAAAATTATCATAAGTGTACCAATTTTGAATTTTTCGTGGCATTAACCTTATTTATTATTTATTTATGCCACGTCGCTAAAACTGCAAAATTCAATAGACCTCCTCCACCTAATCTCATAAAAATTTCATCCAAGATGTTAGTGGCCTAGTGATTCATGACTATATTTTCCAACTAACAAGCTTAGGAGGTCGAACACCGCTCGCAGTAGTAATGCGCGATTATCATGCCGATCAATAAGTTTCTGGACCTCTAGGGCTTCCGTGCCTTTTTGACAACATTCAAAGGGCATTATTTAAGTTGGTCCCGTCTCCCAACTCTTTTATTTTATAAAAAGGAAAATAAAAGTAGCACAATCCTCAATAATTGAACTATCACTACGGTGTGATAGACCGATTTCGCACCATTCATACTCAATCAATTATTAATTTTCGCGTGTGGTCAAACCTTGTTGCCATTTTTCTTCGTTTTTATTATTACTCGAAAGATGTGACCATCAAAACATCGTAATATCAAACGACAATCCCGTATAGAATGCAAATTATTTTGATTTTTTGTTCAATTATTGATGTTGAAAAGGAAGTCCAACATGCAGCCAACCTATCTATCACCACAATCTTCGACTTCTTCTTTTGTCTTTTTCGGAAAATTTATAGGAAAAAAACAATCAAAAACTCCAAATTAGAAAAAATTCCAAATAAAAGCCTGAAATGCTCTCATTTTTTCAAATAAGGGCATGAAATGAATCTTGTTTCAAAAAAAGCGCCTGAAGTGGTCATAGCAGTTTCAAATAAGGGTCTGATCTCGTCAGCTGGCTAAATATTTCGACTGATGAAGGGCATTTTCGTCCAAAGACAATTTTACCTAAATTTTAGTTAAATTAGCTTAAAAATTAAGAAAACTACATCTTAAAAAGAAAAAAAAATACAGGCGGGGTTTTTTTTCTTCTGTGCATTTTCTTTTCTTTTTTTAAAGTTTTAGCTTTTTTCTTCTTTTTTGAGTTTATCTTTTTTATGAATTTTTTTTAGATTTTTTAAACTAATTTAATTAAGATTTTGTATAAAAATTCGGATTCAGATAAAAAAAACAATGTCGTTTATAACTTTAGTTAACCTTAACGCGATGCAAGACACTACGTGAGAGAGATAAAATATTACAAAAAACAATAATGTCAGCAATTCTGTTAGTCAAATTGGACGGAGTTAGCAGAATTATTCGATTTTTACAAAATGAAGTCCTTGACCGGGGCCTGCAAGCCCTCGCTAGCCACTGGCGAGGGTCACCTTGTCCAAGTCCTCGCTAGCAACGAGCGAGGCGACCCTCCCCTAGATCTGGTAAGAGCCAACCTTGCCTGTAGCCGGCAAGGGTCGCCCAGGCGAGGCCCGCCCTCGCCTGTGACTTTCGAGGGCGGCCTCTCCCGCTCTTTTATTTTATATAAAGGAAAATAAAAGTAGCACAATCTTCAATAATTGAACTATCACTATGGTGTGATAGATCGATTTCGCACCGCTCATCCTCAATCAATTATTAATTTTTGCGCATGTGGTCAAACATTGTTCCCATTTTTCTTTCTTTTTTATCACACGAAAGATGTGACTGTCAAAATATCGCAATACTAAACGACAATCTCGTATAGAATGCAAATTATTTTGATTATTCGTTCAATTATTGATGTTGAAAAGGAAGTCCGACATGCAGCCAACCTATCTGTCACCACAATCGTGGACTTCTTGGAAATTTTTTTGAGAAAAACCTACAAAAAAACTTAAAACTATGCCTATTGTGACACATTTACCTTAATTTTTTTTGTATCATAAAAAAATCTCAAATTATCCATATGACACATTCACCCTCCGTTAAATGAGCACCATTAAAAATCCTATGTCAGCACAACGAAATGCAAACGGCGCTAGCCTTGCACTCATGTGGATTAAACAAAAGACTCCCTTGGATATTAACAAAACTATGCCATGCTCTTCATCTCTTTCTCATTCCTCTAGCGTCATGATTTGGTGTTAAAATATATCTCGAGTTTGAGTTCGATAGACAAAACCTGATCCGAGATTAATTATTATTTGTGATCTAAATATTCCGAATTGGATATTTTGCTGACGTTCGAAATCGAGCAAAGCGAAAATATGAATTTCGGAATTTGGAATTTAAAATAATAATTATTCCTTCTTGGTTGATATCTCTTGTTGGAATTCAAGTTGGAAAAGGAAAGCAGAAAGAATAATTTCCCGTGGAAGTCACTGCCAAAGTTTCTCTATCTGAAGAGGAAAGTTCATCAAGTTTGACTGGCTGACCAAATCTTTTGGACGCTGGACGGGGGTTACTTTCTCCCTGAATATCTTTTTGTTTATTTTCGAATTAATAAACAAAATGAGTGGACCCATAACGCTGTACCTAACGTTGTACCCTATCTATCCCTTTTGGCCTTTTTGTACCCGCACTAAAAATGGGGGGACCCATAACTTTCTCTCCTTCTTCCTCCACCTCTCACCACACCAGAGAGAAAGGGACAGGGAATATCATGACTCGTATTTTATCAGTTCTCTATTTTCTAGCATATTAATAAAGAAAAAATTCTAAAAAAGAGGCCGAATTATAGTTATTTTCTTAAATAAAGGCCTGAAGTGAATACTGTACCAAATAAGGATCTAAAGTGGCCAAATCGTGTCAAATAAAGGCATAAAATGATCAAATTGTCTCAAAAAAAGACCTTTGGCCGGCTAGTAACTATTCCGTTGCTGGAAAAGGGGTAATTTAGTCAAAAACATTATAAGTATATTTTTTATTTTTTATTTTACTTTATTTTCTTTTTATTTTCCTTTTTCTTTTTCCTTTTTTCTTCTTCCCTCCTAGCCTTTACTACGCCTGGCCAGCGACCTCCGCTGGCTTTAGGCGAGGTTGCCCAATGCCAGCGCAGGCGAGGGGCGCCCTCACTTGGGCTAGCGAGGGTCGCCCCCACCGACGTTGGGCGAGGGTTGCCTTGCTTGGGCTGAGTGGGCAAGGGCGACCCTCGCCCTGGCCTGGCCTCGCCAGCCCAGGCGAGGCCAAGGGTTGCCCTCGCCGGCGTCGGGCGACGATCTCCTCGCTTGGGCTAGCCTCACCCTTTCAGACGTCGGGCGAGGGCGGCCTTGCCTGAGGGTGGCGGAAGTCACCGGCCAGGTGCAGTAAAGACTGGGAGGGTAGAGAGGAAAAAAATAAAGAAAAGGAAAAGAAAAGGACGAGGAAAAGAAAAAAAAATAGAAAAAGAAAAAAAAAGAAAAAAATTAAAAGTAGAAAATACCCTTTGGCCAGTGAGGTTAGGTCCTTATTTAAAACTGATATGGCCACTTCATGCCCTTTTTTGAGACAAGATTCACTTCAGGCCTTATTTGAGAAAATGAGGGCACTTCAAGCCCTTATTTGAGAAAATAACTCCACTTCGAGTTCCTTTTTGGAATTTTCCCTTTTAATAAATGCATCATATAACATGTCTAATATAATGGAAACGCACCTTGTTGATTTTTTTTAATATTAAAAAATACAAGACTAAAAGAAATTTTTTTTTGGGTGAAGATCAATTTAGGAGGGAGGTTACCCCCATACGAAGGCCAGGGCATACCACTAGTTTAAAAGGTTTTATAGTGGATTTACACATTAGCTACTAAAAGGGACTGCTGGTAGCGGAGTTCGAAACTAGGCATAGTGTGCAAAGAGATCGAATCTTACCAATTGAGCCTACCCACTTTGGCAGACTAAATAAATTAACTTTTGCTTTTGATTTTTTATTTGATTAAAATTTTACGGGTTCGTGCATTTTGACTCTTTAAGTGGGAAATTTATTAAATTTTCATAGTATTCAAATATCGACACATAAATTCACGTGTTATATATATTCTTATGATTGACCGAAATTTGAATAACAATTAGGTTTTCACGGGAAAGCAAAAAAAATGATGGGCTTTTGATAATTGTAACCACTGTATTCGTTGATATTTTCTGTATTTCAATATCAAGGTGTTCGAAATTAAACCAAAGTCAAATTATAAATGCTGAAAAAGTAAACTAAAATTTAAGAGCGAGAAAAGCAATTCCAAGAACACAATGTGCAACGTAAAGGCTTTGTCTCTTCCTTCAAAAACACAGCAAATAACCAAGTAAATGAATTTGCAATCTCATTCAACATATGCACAGCCAAACGGAGTATTATTCCAATTGTGATTAACCCCAACAAAAGATGCACGTATCATGTTATAGTTGTTAGTATGATACGTGGTGTCAAAAATCATCACATCATCGAAACATTTCCAATCAAATTTGGACAAACTATTTCTCAAAAATAGATTTGTCAATCTACCATTTTGATCTACTTATACAGTATAAAAAAAAACATTGGATTTTGCATTTGCATGCATTAAAAATGATTCTAAAGACTCTGACAATCTCCCACACTTATATTATTTGATCTTTTAGTCTACAAAAACTTTTGACAATCGCGCATGATGAAATCCAAGTTTTGGTTTGTGAAGAACTTATATTCCATAGCAACCCCCCCCCCACCAAAGTATTAGGAATCATTATTCCATATTTTATCAAGTGCTTTTGATGTTCCGATAGAAATTTATAATTGGGAACATACTTCTATGAATGTCATTCTCAAACTTAAATATGACAAAAGCAGGATAACCACCTCTAACTTTAACTTTAAGTCTTTCATATTTTTTTCTTGATCAGATGAGTTCACAGAATACCTCTCAAAATTACACGCAAAAGTCTGTCGAGTTATTACTCCTTTGCTGTTTTTTCTAATCTAAGCCTTCCTCACTCCAAATTCGTTGCCTATTGCATAGACTAATGTTTATGATATGCTTCAAGGCCACTTGCAAAACTCATTCCTACTATAAGGATGTGTTCGTTTGCGGAAAAATATTTTCCGCGTTTTCCGGTGTTCCGGGGTGGAAAATATTTTCCGTGGGAAAACATTTTCCTTCCCCACCCCCAAATCCTTCATTGTTTTGGGGAAAATGATTTCCTCTTTTCACAAAGAGGAAATCATTTTCCCCCAAATTGAAGGCAAAATTGCCCATAGGAGGGAAAATATTTTCCGTGAGAGAGGAAGTTGATCGCCGGTCACCACCGTTGGCTGCCGGTCGATGGCCGCCCGCCGCCGCCCGCCGCCGCCCGGCCGCCCGCCGCCACGGCCGGCCGCCGCGCCGCGGCGGTCGCCGCTTGCCGGGTTGCGGCCGCCGCCCGCCGCCGCCGCCGCCCGTCGCCGGCCGCCGCCGCCGCCGTAGCCGGTCGCCGGCCGCCGCCGCGCGCCGCCGGTAGCCGGTCGCCGGCCGCCGCCCGCCGCCTTGTCGCCGGTGAAAAATATTTTCCGAAACTTTTTCATATTGATCGCTGAACACTGGAAAATTATATTCCGGGAAAACATTTTCCAGGAAAATGACTTCCGGGAAAATATTTTCCAAAAGGAAAATATTTTCCGCCAAACGAACGGAGCCTAAATTCAAAATCTTTTTCTAAATAACGGATTACATGTGCTAGATGGGCAATTTCATATATAATGCAAGCAAAGAAAAAAAAGTAATTAACATTGTACTTTACAAGCAAAATAATATATCATCCATTTCTAGAGAAAGCAAGTATCTTTCGCACAGTATAAGTTCAGGATGACTTATTTAGCCCTCGGATAACCTTATACGGGCGAAGTAACTAACTAACCACGAGCGAACCTTTGTTAGCCAGAGTTTTTGTAGTTGAATCGAGGACAGACTCCACGAGATGGAGCAATGGAGCACCAGCAATCGAGGGCACGGCCTAATCGAGGACTAACCTTCTTGCTCAGCCTTCGCGAGCACAAACGCCATGACAGCGGGGCTCCTAGAGGAAAAGCCACCGATGGGGCTTTGGAGGCGGAGGCGAGCATTTTCTTAATCTGCAAATCAAGATATCTTCGATGAAAAAGAGGTTTCATGTCCATCTACACAAATTAATGGCAGGAACCACACCATGAGTCCCCATGTCAAATAACCGGAACAGTATGTATCTAGACAATACAAGAAATTGAACAGGAGGCCTGTTGAATTTAGTGCAAAATGACAAAAAATGGAACCTAGAAAACAGCACAAGACATATGAATGGAAACAAAAAATCTACGAAGGTAGAAACATCATAGGCCAAATTAAACATCCGAAGCAATAAAGGTGGGTCAACATGTCAACAATTTCACATAAAAATTTTGGGAAGACAAATCAAGGACAGGGATTTGTGGGAGACGGAAAAGCATATCAAAAAGTTGGACAATTCTTCAGAGCCAGGATAGAATAACCATCTACGGAGACTAGACTGAGGTCACCGACATAAAAAACTGCATTGTTTATCGATACCTGACAAACAATAAAGGGCTCTATTCTACTTAGGTGAATGCATCTGCAATTCTGCACCATACAATGTATAATAACAATCATCTAGAAGAAAGGCTAGCAGCTGTGAAACGGAGCAAGGATGAAAACTTCTTCAATTGCCAAAGGGTGTGATACCAGTAAGTGAGCACTCTCGGTCTCAAAGCTCATCAGGTTGAGCTTGCCACTCTTCCCTATACATCTGCAACAGCCTTCTCCGACTGTTAAAGGAGAAAAAGAGTTAAAGTAGTTCCCAAGACAAACTTCGCAGACGAAGACCTTGAGTGCACAATATAAGAGCAAAGACTCAAATCATCCCCATCATAAGTTTGAGCCAGCTCTGCTCTAACTTCACCCTCCAATCTGGCAAACGATTCCTTTTCGAGTGCTTCTTGGGCCTCTGCAGCCTAAAATGAGAACGAGAGACAACCAGCCAAAAAATCAACCAGAATAAAGCTTGTGAAGTCAAAATAGGAAAGATATGAAGAATTGACACCTTGCTCTCAACTTCTAAAAATTCATTAACAAGTTCCTCTAATCGCCCAGCGACCGGCACGGGCTCTCGGAAGAGTCGTAGCCACCAATGGGGCTCCCGGAGGCGACGTGCAGGAGGCAGATTGAGTTTGGGAGAGAGAGAGAGAGGGGCAAATTTTGCTAAAAAAGGGAAGAGAGAGTATATCTTCAACGAAGGGAGAGAGGACGCAAAGTGAATTTTGAAAAAAAATATGAAGGCAGAGAGAGTGCGTCTTCAATGAAGAGAGAGGACCCAGAAGTTCGGAGAAAATATTAGGTACCACAGTGATGCCATGTCGGATGTGCACAGTCCATTCAGCGTTGGACACGTGTCGTCACGGGCCGACTGCCAGAAAATTTTTCAAACTCATTGCTTTGGCGGCGTCTCTCTCTCTCTCTCTCCTTCACGGCATCTCTCTCCCTCCCTTGTCTGAGAAAAGCGACGCGCTCTCTTCCCTTTCTCTCTCTCCTTCTCGAGTCGCATTCAGCTCTGCAACTCTCCATCCCTCCTGCTCGGACTCTCGACGAAGCTCTGCAACTCTTTGTCCCTCCCGCCCGACTTGCAATTCAGCTCTACAACTCTCCATAAGTCTCTCGCTCTCCCTCCCGACTCGCATTCGGCCCTGCAACTCTCCATCGTTCCCGCTCAATCTCAACCTCCCGCTCGATCTCACCTCCTCGATTTCAAAAGTCAAGGCCTTCGACAACACCTGCTCTCGTGGCAATGGCATCTTCGCTCAAGACTTCAGGTAACCATGGGGACGAGCTCAAAGCTCAAGTGGCCATTGCCACGAGCTCGAGCGGCCAAGGCGACCCAAGCTCCGGGTTTGAGGTCGAGCTCCGTGGCCAAAGCAGCCATGAGCCTTGGGCTTGAGCTCAAGCCATGGTGGACGCAAGAGGAAAGAAAAAAAAGTAAGTGCTAAACAGAAAGAGAGAGAGGAGAGAGAGGAGGGACGAATCTGAAAAGAGAGAGAAAGAAAGAGCAGAGAGAAGAAATCTGAAATTTTCTGAAATGTGGGCTCGCGACACGTGCCCATCGCTGTATAGACTAGCGCACATCCCACGTGAAATCATCGTGGTACCTAATATTTTCTTGGAAGTTTTTATGAAAAAAGAGGAGAAAATTACCAATTCAGTCCTCAACCTATTGCATTTGTGCCAATTTAGTCCTAAATTTTTCAATTTGGCCAATTCAGTCCTAAACCTTTTGCAAACCAGTCAATTCAGTCCTTTTGGGCGGCTGGCGCTGACATGGCCGTCGGCCGGCTGACGTGGCGCCGACGGCGTCCACGTGACAATATTTTAATATTTTTTTCGAATTTTTTTCTTTTCCTTCTATCCCTGGCCTGTTCGGCCAGGGGGGAGGCTCGCCGGCGAGGCGGAGCTCGCCCTGCCATGGCGAGCTTCGCCTCGCCAGATCTGGGCGAGGGCGGAGCTCGCCCAGCCATGGCGAGCTCCGCCTCGCCAGATCCTAGCGAGGGCAGAGCTCGCCCATCCATGGCGAGCTGGGCCCTCGCTGCTCGCCCAGCTCGCCATGGTTGGGCGAGCTCCGCCTCGCCGGAGCTGGGCGAGGCGGAGCTCGCTTGGCCGGGCGAGCTCCGCCTCGCCTAGATCTCGGCGAGGCGGAGCTCGCCATGGCGGGCGAGCTCCGCCTTGCCGGAGCTGGGCGAGGGTCGCCCATCGGTGGCGAGGCGGAGCTCGCCTTGGTTGGGCGAGCTCCGCCCTCGCCCAGCGTTGGCGAGGGCCCAGCTCGCCTCGCCGGAGCTGGGCCCTCGTCGGCGAGCCTCCCCCCTGACTGGATAGGCAAGGGGGAGAAGGAAAAGAAAAAAATTCAAAAAGAATAATAAAAAAATATTAAAATATTGCCACGTGAACGCCGCCCGGCGCCACGCAGCCGGCCGGCGGCCATGTCAGCGCCGGTCGGCCAAAATGACTGAATTGGCTGGTTTGCAAAAGGTTTAGGACTGAATTGGTCAAATTAAAAGGTTTAGGACTGAATTGGCACAAATGCAATAGGTTGAAGACTGAATTGATAATTTTCCCGAAAAAAGAGAAAGGGATCCAAAATATGTGGCGCCACGTGTCATTTATTGAATGATTCGGCCCATGGTGCCGGGAAGGGGCCGGACCACCTAATATTTTCTGGTATCTAAACGTCAGAGTCCACAACCCGAATCTTCTTTCCTCGGACAAAACTCACTCAATCCCATAATAGAATACAACAGGCCAAAAAGTTCCTGCAAAACTCGAAACCCAATACCCAACCGGGCCCCAAATCTCTCTCTCTATCTAAAATCTCAAAACTCCGAAACCCGTATCTTTTCTTGTTGTTATCTTCACCAGCTGTCCTGTTTTTTACCTTCTACTTAAAAAGGAAACATTATTTTAGCCTGTGCCCATCCCTCTTATCCCCAAAACCCTGAACCAACCATTCTTTCTCTCTATTTCTCTCTCATGTTTTCTTAAGACTGTTTTTGCTTTCTTCTCTCTTTTTCTCTCTATAAATAATCTGACACCCATTTGTCCCATCTTCCTCAGACAAACTCACTTCCCGAAAACCCAAATCCCCAATCTCTCCCTCACCCTCCAGGAAATTCCCACTCTCCTTCATCGTCTCCTCCTTCTACGCCCAGACATCTCCAGAAAAACATCTCAACTTCGACACTCACACACAGAATGGCAGAAATGAAGGAGTCTTGGACATCTCTGGCCTCCTTCCTGGGCATCCTGGCCTTCTGCCAGACCCTCCTCCAGGTGGTGTTCCCGCCGGAGCTCCGGTTCGCCTCCCTCAAGTTCCTCAACCGGGCCCTCGGCTGCTGCTCCTCCTACTGCTACTTCGACATCACCGAGATGGACAGAGACAACACCAACGAGCTCTACAACTCCGTCCAACTCTACCTCAGCTCCTTCGTCTCCGCCTCCTGCAGCCGCCTCTCTCTCACCCGCCCCCGCAACTCCAGCGCCACCACCTTCGGCCTCTCCCACAACGACTGCATCAACGACGTCTTTGACGGCGTTGCGGTCCAGTGGGAGCACGTGGTGACGCAGCGTCAGTCCCAGACCTCGTGGCGGTCCCTCCCCGACGAGCAGCGCAGCTTCACGCTCCGGATCAGGAAGCGCGACAAGGACCTCATCCTCGACTCCTACCTGGACTACATCACGGACAAGTCCAACGACATCCGCCGAAACAACCAAGAACGCCTCATTTATACTAATTCGGTGCTCAATTGTCGTAGCCGCCCTTGGGAATCCGTACCGTTCAAACACCCGAGCACCTTTGACACGTTGGCCATGGATCCGGAGAGGAAGAGGGACATCATGGAGGACCTCCGTGACTTCGCAGTCGGGCAGGCCTTCTACCAGCAGACGGGCCGTGCCTGGAAGCGGGGCTACCTGCTCTACGGTCCGCCCGGGACTGGAAAATCCAGCATGATCGCCGCCATGGCCAATTTCCTCCGCTATGACATCTACGACCTCGAGCTGACCGAGGTGCCCTCCAACTCCGAGCTCCGGAAGCTCCTCATGAAGACCAGCTCCAAGTCCATCATCGTCATTGAGGATATTGACTGCTCGGTCAATTTGTTGAACAGGTCGAAGGAGCCCAAAGCCGCGGAGCCTCGGAGCTACTACGACCCTGGTTCGCCTGATGCTGCGTGCGGCGGCAAGGACGGGAATAACAAAACGATCACCCTCTCAGGGCTGCTCAACTTCACGGACGGCCTGTGGTCGTGCTGCGGGAGCGAGAGGATCTTCGTGTTCACCACCAACCACATCGACAAGCTCGACCCGGCATTGCTCCGGAGCGGTCGGATGGACATGCACATCTACATGAGCTACTGCTCGTACCCAGCGCTCAAGATCCTGCTCCGGAACTACCTGGGCAGCGAGGACGAGGACCTCGGCAAGGCGGCGGTGAGCGAGCTCCGGGAGGCGGTCGAGAATGCCCAGATGACGCCGGCGGACATAAGCGAAGTCCTGATCAAGAACCGGAGGAACAAGGAGAAAGCGGTGAGCGAGTTGCTGGAGGTGTTGCAGGCGAGAGCGGAGAGGAACGAGAAGTACGGAGGGCTGAGGGAGGAGTGCGGGCTGAACGGGGTGGCGGTGGAGGAGGAAGAAGAGGAGCAAGAGAAGAGGGCTCTGGAGGAGCCCCAAAGAAGCGAGCGACTGTGACAGACGACTCTTGCAAGAAAGTGGAGGATGATGAAAGCGAAAAAGGCAGAATGAGGGAAAACAAATTGGTAAAAAGATGGGGTTGGACCAATGAGAACACGTATGGGTGTCTAGTATGTTTTTTTTTGGTCGAAATATGGTGTCTAATATTAAACGCTCCGAATTCGTGTCTTATTATGAAAATATATGTAAACCTCGTGCGACATCCCATGTTGTGTTAGGTGCAGCTTTTGGAGATGTGCAATGAGCATAATGTGATTTTAGGTCAATTATCTTATTAAAAAAAGAATTCTGCTCTTTTATCTTAGTTAAGGGGACGTTACCGACCAAAAAAAAAAAGTTAATTAAGGGGATGTTATTTCTTAATTAATTTTTTTTATTCTTTCAAGATCAAATTGTCCCTTCTTTCGCATGAAATCGCATTTTATATTCTTTATAAGATGAGAGATTTCATTTTACACCTGACTAATGGGAAGTATGTCGACACCTAATTCTTGTCGCAAGTCAAGTATTTATTTTTTTGTAAAGAGAAACAATAAAAGAACAAATAAAATGATAATTAGAGAAAATAAATAAATAACAAATAAGAAATCATGAAAAAAAACACAAAAGATTAAGAACAAACTCTATTTGGATTTCTCTTCTCATGTCCAGTACTGATCCTCCACCGCTGCGCCTCTTCCTCCGACTGGTCCACCACTAATCACTTTGGTCTCTGATTCCGTCGCCACGCATCGATCTTCTCTGACAACTTTTCAGTTCCGATGTTGTTCCTCCTCCTCCTTGGCTGCAACTTCGACCTCTTCCTCTGTTACGATTCTAGAGATGTTTTGGCCGTGATTATGATTATAAATCAATTGTTGCTCGTTCAGGTTGCGAAGTGGACTTCCTCTAGGGTCTTTAGGGGTTTAAATTAAGCATTGTATTACATATCTAGGTGTGAGAAATCTCTCATACTCATATTTACTATTGTGAATCACAAGTGAATGTGAAATGAAAAGCCTTTGAGGCTAGGGGTGATCGGTTCCCACCCAAAAACTGAAAACTGCTAATACCTAATTTTTAGCTCATTTTTTAAATTTTTTTAAAAATTACAAAATTAGGATTAAGAACCTTGACCAAGCTTAGGAACCTATTTCTAAACCAAAAATAAATTTTTTCAAATTTTCCTGAATTTTTTCTTAATTTCTTTTAGTCAAAATAATAGAGAAAATCAAGAAAAATAGCAAATGGAGTCCAAAAATTCCATAAAAATAGTCATTAGTCTTATTTTAAATCCAATTTCATTAATACAGCATCAATTTTATAAAATTTTAATTTGGAATGTGCTTTTCCCAAAATTGGATAAAAACAAGCCCAAATTGAATCAAAAATTCAATTCAGTCATTTCTAGTCATTTGTAGGCTATAGTGTCTTCACGACAAACGATTCTGGAACCTTGAATTACATAATAGTCAGTCCAATTGAACAATTACCAAATAAATCGAAAAGTCCCAAAATTCAATTGAAAATTAGGAATTTTTAGCCCAAATTAGGGATTATGATCAATTTGAAATTGTCGAACCTTGAGACCATAATTTCTAGGGTTAATCAGTCATGGGTAATCCAATTTTGGCATCATTTTTTCTCAATCAGGTTATTTAGGTACTGGATTGAATAAAACCCTAGTGATCCGGATTTTAAAATTTGAGAATTTTTGGTTTAATTGTGACATAATTTAGGGCAAATCTCATATTTTGATGCAAAATGTGCCAAGGAATTCAATTTTGAGGTTTAATATGAAAAAATTAGGTCAAAATCAGGCTTAATTTGCGATTTTAGACTAACCCGGGTCTGCCGAGTCAGCCAAGTCAACCCGACCCGACCCAAGTCGGTCTCCTTCCTTACCTGACTCGCCCAGAACGTGATAAAATCCAGAAAAATATCTCCGGCCCCGCCACTTCACTGATTCAATCCGATCAAAATAGCACGTGTTAAACTCCGATTCCAGCTGGTGTCTGTCGCGACCTAAAAAAAAAAATCGGGTTTTCGATCTTAGGCTAATGGATTACTAGATCAATTAAATTAACTAACCTAGCTCGAGTTCTCCCAAACTCTACCAAATCGCAACTTAGGTCCAATTGTGAGCATGCAAATATTTTCAATGGGAGTCGCCACTAATCATTTAAGATAGGTTGATTAGAAACCTAAATAAAATAGCGGGAGTACTATTTTATTTCTGCGAATCAGAAATTATAAATTCGGGGACTTGGTTACGCTAGATTCCCTAATGTCCTTTCGGTACCAATTTCAAGAGAAATACTCAATTGGACAATTTTGATAAATCCTGACTTAGAGTTCAAAGGTGCAGAAATTTTCTTTTTTGATTTTTTATTTATTTAAATGAAAGCTAACCTATATGTAATGACGTGCAAAAATTGACATGTGATTAATGCAACCTAACATGCAAACTATATGTCATGCGACGACGTGATTTATTTCTAATGACGGGCATATTATTTTTTTTTGTATTTTTTCTTTAATGAAATTCGGAATTAAAAATGCCAATTATCTAAACATGCAATTTTAAACTAAAGAAATTAACCTATTCTAGAGTAATCTTTTTGGCATTTTTTTTAATCAAAATTCGAAATTAAAATCAAGTAAAAAAATATAACCGCTAAATCTTTCGAATTAAGTTTCGATCTGAAGCCTGACAGATCGATCCTAAAATTCGAAATACCCGCTATGGAAATAACTCTATCTAAAGCCTGATAGATAGATTTATTTTCACGTGTGCGGTTGCGGATTAGGAAATTTTCCTAATCGATCAAATCTTGAAAAAATTTAGATATCTCAAATATCTTGGATATATTCAAAGGATTTTGAAAATTTTAGATTCTATCCAAATTTGATAAGTAATAGATATCTAAGATTTAAAAAAAAAGAGGAAATAAATCCTAATTGAAATATGCCTATTATTCAAATATGCAAAATTAGATATCAATCAGCACAAATTAGGCAACAAAATATTCAAATTAAATCGGGATAAGATAATTACCTGATTTGCAGATTTGTTTCCAAATTTGAACCGGTGATGGACAAACTCGAACGGCGGCCGGCGGTGGATTCGCGGTATGGTCAGCCGCGGTAATGATCGACACCTAGGGACCGACAACAGCAAAGAGATATCGACCTACGTTGGTGAGGGGAATCGTCAATGATAGACTGACTAATTGGCCGCAACTTCAACAAAACTTCCAGAGAAAATAATGCTCAGGGAATAAGCAACAACGACCAGAAGACCAGCAAGTATCAAAGAAACCAATCGTAGAGTAATAAGTGATCTCCGAGGAACACTAGAGATATCGTAGTGCAGGGACTAGCTCGTTTGATCGTCGGCTTTGCAGGTTCGGCAACAAAGGTTCGCTGGTGCTGATCGCGTGGGCTAGCTAACACCGAAAACAGCAGGCTATCGGGTGTCGAGGCTCTTTCACGAATGCCGCATCGCCATTGATGAAGAGCCACAGCACGCCAAAGTGATTGGAACTTCTGTGGACGACCGAAAAAAAACTTTGTTGTATCTCCAGACCAAGAAAAAGAGAGCCCCCCCTCTCTTTTGTCTTTTCTTCCTTCGATCGTGGCTGCCAAGGGGAGGTGCAGCTCCTCTCTCCTTCTCTCTCGTGGCTTTGTGTTTCAATTACGTAGCTCCGACTTCTCCGAATTTCTGTTCTCCGAAAGTTCTGAGACCCCCTTTAATTATGACACATAACGATATATTTATAATGTAAACCTAGGTCAATTAGCCGGGTTTTCTAGTCCTAATGGGCTTAGGCTTGAGCTTAGGCTTTAATTATCATTTAATTTCAAGTGGGCTGAATTAATGTGAGCTTTTATTTAATTAAGCATAATGGGCTAATTTAAGCTCAAATTAAGACAACCAAGCCCTTCTGACTTGTAATTTTCGGCCCTTGCCTTTCGAGTGAGCCGAGTCTCGTTCGATGTCCGAGCTCAATTTACATGACGAATTCTAAGCTCGCTTGCCACCGCCAATCCGATGCGGAATGCAATTAATCTATATGAACCTAAACTATATGCTATGCAATTTTAATATTTTTGTTTAGGGGTTAAAATTTAATCCCTAATTTTCTATGCAATTAACCACTAAATGATGCGCCGAAATTTAGGTGTCAACAGCGTCGGAGATTCGTTACAATCGATTCAGAGGTCGGTGATAACCAACTTTGGGCGGGAAAACGAGCTACAAAAAGGAGAAGGAACATTATCAAACGCAGACGAACTGCTCGAGAGAATTCTAGAGAGAAGAGAGAGAGTTAGGGAGAGAAAGAGAGAGGAATCAGAGAGAGTAGGGAGTTGAGGTCCATTGATCGAGTGTCCGGTGCCGACGGACAGAACGGTGCTGGTGAATCGATCGTTCAAGGAGGACCTCCTCCTCAGACAATCAGTACAAGATTGATCGTGAACCCCTGAAAACAAGTCTTGGTCGGAGAATCTCGAGCTTTCCTGAGGAAACAGCAGTCGTCCCCCTGAAGAATAAGTCTCGAAGAATCATCCTAAAGCCTTCATCAAGATCAGAATTTCCAATTTGTGCTTCGTAAAAGAAGGTAAAGTTCAATCCTACACACGGTCTAGCGAAAATCCAAAATATATGTTTAGGCTTCATTATGCTTTATCATGCGAATTTCTTTTTGATTTTGAGTTTCTGGATGTTCAAAAGCTGATTCTGATCTCAAGTTTTTCATCGTTTGATTACATTTTCGATCGAAAAACCTCCCTAAACCGAGTCGGTCGTCCATTGAACCCCATCGTCGGAGCAGCCCTTACCTCACTGGAGCGTTTCTATGGTCTTAGGCCATCCAAGTTAGACATTTATGATCTTATTTCATGCTCTGATGGTTATTTGAATCGGTTTAGACGGCTAGGAC